CCCCCCCGTCCTTGTTTTTCACCAGGTTGAGTTCGACGGCGTCGGGTTCAGACAGTCTGTTTGGACCACCGTTGGAATCGGCCTTCAAGTCCAAAAGCTTTGATAGTCGGGAACAACTCAGAGAGCAGAGCACCTTTGGTGCATCTGAATGTAAGAACGGTGTTGAGATATTTTCTTTGTTCAGTTTAATACTTTATTGGCCCAAATATAAAATAATCTCTCATTTTCTAACAGCTGGTTTTAAGATATTGATGAAAATAAACATTATCACTATCAGACTCGTCCAGCGGGAGATAAAATAGTTCTTATCCTTGAAGCCTTATCTCTCATAAAAAGAGTAATTCCATTGGAGAAAAACATAAATCCCACATTTCTATTACTTGTGCGGGTCTGTTGATTCACTCACACTCTCTGATTTTGATGAATGATTTTTACTGGTAGTCAAGTGTAAACAAAACACAAACGGGAGGATACACTACACACAGACCCCCACCCCGACACACCTGCCGACATACAATAAAAAAAAACATAAAACAAAAGAAAAAACTAGTTGCCAGAGAAGCAAATAATTGTCCATGCAGGCTCAGATATGCTGCCTCTCTAGTGTCCACAGACACTGTGAGAGAACAGCTGGTGATGATTTAAAAGGTGCTTAATATAAACTGTACATTAAGCCCTCTAAAGCACAGAAATAAACATACACTACTTTGTTGCAGCCGAGTCATTTGATAGAATCAACAAATTATCAACAAATCTCATCTCAATCTCATAAAACAGATTTACAGTATGAGTCAGATGAAAGGTCCTAAATCTCCACCATAGCATTGCACCACTTCTTAAAACAAGGAGGGAGGGGATGTAGGTTTCCATTCTCACTAAATAACCCTCTTAGATATAAAACCATACAAAACATTAAAGGCTGCTGGGTCTCATATGGAGGTTTTAGGAAGCTTTTAGGAACAACCCAAAACAGCAAGTACACAATCTGCTTCCCAGTATTATTTTTTTCAACTTTATACGGCAGACCAAAGACGAGTCTCAAATAACAAATACAAATACAAATAACTGAAACCAATGACAAGATCCAATTAAGTCTGGTCTCTAAAAAATGAATGATATAAATGAGTTTAAACTGTACCAACCACTCAACCCAAAACTCCTCAGATAACTCACATGTCCTTCTTTCAACCCTCCCTGAGATGAATCATAGAAAGTGTGTTGTGTGGGTTAATCTGTCAAACTGAACAAGAGACTAAATGTCTAACCTCTAGGTGACAAAAGAAAGACTAAACTTTAATTGTAGCTGGATAAAAGAGACAGATTTCTGAGGTCTCATATTGTATTTAAGTCCTTCTTTCAGACACTATTTGATCTTTTTTGGTAATTGCTCCATTTAAAGACCTGCTTTTATGAATGTAAATGTCTTGTCCTTGAATATAATACAACTTTTTACAAATGTTACATCCAGAAAATAAGTGATGTGTTTGTACAATATTATGCAAATATGGTAAATTGAGGTTGATACTGTGTACAGAATGTTCGGTAAAGTCTAATTACATTTTTATGAGTTGTTTGTTTTACTGCACTGTATTGATATAATGTGTTTAATGTTTGTGTCAGATGCCGCCTTCTCGTCCGATTCCTCCTCCCCGGAGAACGTCGAAGACTCCGGCCTAGATTCGCCTTCCCATCAGCCCCTTGGGCCCTCCCCTGAGCCAGTGGGTTGGGCAGCTTGGCCTCCAGTGTCACAGAGTAAAGAACAGTCACAAACACTGGGACGACCTGCGGACCCTTTCCTCTCTGCTTTCCGTGACCCCTCCCCTGGTTGGAGTCCTCACCAGCAGGACGACCCAGCCAGCGTCTGGTCCGTCGCCCCCACACGTCCCTCTCGTGTCCCCCCAGATATGGACTCATCCATGCGATTCCCTGCTTTCTCACAGTCCCTCCCCCCACCTGAGATGGAATCGTCGGTGTGGAACTGCAAACACATCCCTCCCGAGGACCCCTTCCTCGCTGCCTTTGAAAGGACTGTCACCCAGGAGACTTTAAACCTGTCTGACGCCTGGGCGCGCCCACCGCCTCGCCTGACCCAGGAGTGCCGGGGGATGGAGGTTCGAGGGGACCCGTTTTCCATGACTCTCGCTGACACCAAGACACTCCCAACCTCATCCTCTTCCTCCTCTTCATCCTCCTCAAATCGTAAAAACAGAGAGAGGAAACGAGACCGGAGCCTCCCGCCTCCTGTTTCCTCTGATGACCCGTTTGCGATCACGATGATTGGCAGCCCAACGCACCAGTCGTCGCTGGCTGCAGCAGCTGGGTTGATCCCTCCACACAGCAGCAGCAGCAGCAGCAGCAGCAGTGCTGTCGGCTCAACCAATAGCAATAGACTGGGACTCGACGCTAACTCAAGCTCTTTGCCCTCAGCCCAGCCCAAGAAGGAGCTGATACACTGGAACTCTGTCCACAACCCGTTCACTGAAGGTGTCTCTGGAGTGCTGAGCAGCTCCAAAACACAGGAAGGAGGAGGAAAAGGAGATGTAGTAGTAGTAGGAGGAGGAGGAGGAGGAGTAGAGAGGAGAAAACATCGATCATCAGAAAGTGAGCCACGCAGGAACGCCCCTCCACTCACGAGACATTCAGGACCACAGGAGGATCTGTGTTTTTCCACAGACAAAGATCAAGACTGCGTGGATCTGAACACTCAGACACCGTGCGCTGTCAGCTCTCACAAGGGTACTGATTTTTATAGAGGTTCGGACATGGCAGCAAGTCGATCTTTGCATAATTTTAGGGCTACAAGAGTAGATATTATTACTAAACCTGTGGAGAAAATAAGATAAATACACTAATAAAAATACGGGATATACAAAACTGAGATGAAAAATAAAACAAAAACTGCCACATTCACGTCTAAACAATCCAAAAAAACATCCAATGAGGAAATCTCATCTTCCAAAATCTAAAATGGAGTCATAGGATGTTAGCAAAGAGGCTATTTTTCCTTTCAACAGATGTTACAAAGTCACTCAAAAAACTAAGTATAAGATAATTACAATGTTATTGAGATGCATGCAGAACAATAATGCAAATATTTATATTAATAAAAAACACAAGTCAATACACCATTTTGCTACATTGGCGGGCAACACAGAGGCTCATAATACAAGACACATAAAACAATATAATGAAATGATTCAAGTTAATAGAAATATGGACTCATTTGACCGAACCGAACCGTACACCTAGTACTTTCATAACTTCGGCCCAGAGCGGTTTAATTAAGATACATTTTCACTTATATTCTGCACTTCATCACTTTAATTCTGTGGAGCAGACTTTTTAATGAAAACACACCTCTGCATTGGGACAGCCTTTTTAATTAGCCAACATGAAGCCTAATCTGTCCATCAGGGGTCTGCCTGAGCAGTTCATTACAGGCTTATTCAGCTAAAGTTGATAAATAAGCTGCAAGGACTCTTTTTGGTAGGAATTATGCATATTGAGGATCTGTTTATTCACTTGCTATCGGGGTGATGGACTGATTTTAGAGCTGAAACGATGAGCTGATTAATTAGTCAGTCAACAGAAATGAATCTGCAAAGACTTTGATAATGTATTAATTAATTATATATAACATTATGTGATTATACCTTTTAAAACCTGAACGTTTTGCTGCTTCTCTCTTGAAGTGCTAATACCACACACCAGTCAGCATTTTGCTATTATATCTGATGCTTTTGGTTACATACTGCTGCTGCCTTAATGTGTGTGTTGCAATTACTGCTGTAGATGTTTAAGGTTGAGCTCATTCATGTAGTTTAATCTAAAGTAATGCATCATGTTCAATAAGATCATTATGTGTTTTTAGGGTCGCTGTCCTGTGAGAAACTTCTCACTATCTTTAAAAAGTCAACTTTTCATGAAAAACAAGCCAGTTTTCAGCTTTGTGACGAAACATTTTCCAGCTAATGCAATGAGGACTATAAGTTTATTTAGCTTAAGAGGTGGGAGATGTTTCTCAGCACATAAAGGAACAGTTCATCCTGTAGTTTATCTTATTAAAACTTCACCAATAACATGGTTTTAGCTGGACAGGAAGGGTATGAGAAATTGTAATCTGAAAAGTAACTAGTAACTAAAACTATCAGACAAATGTAGTAGAGTAAAAAGTAGAATATTTGCCTCCGAGTTGTAGTGCAGTTGAAAATGTGATCGAATAATCCAAAAATATTATTGCCAATGTGATAATGAAAATAAGGAAATAATAATCATTAGTTGCAGCCCTAAATGATTTTGGATTTAGGATTCGGGTTATAAATCATATTTAAAAAAAGCCCATTTCATCCTAGTTTTTTGTCTTAAAAGTATCCAACTCTAGTTTACAGTTTATGTCTGAATCTGTGTAATTATCTGTCTCAGTAGAGAGGTTAAAAAAAAATACTAAATAAAGTCCCATTGACTAGTGCATCGGATCAAAAACTGTAAAAAACAAAGAAATCCTAAACGCCGTCGATCCTTTGAACTCACTTTATTCAGCCTTCATGAGGTAAAAATCACATCATAGCAGCATCATAAATTCAAACAAAGGAATGAAACCTCGCTCTTAAAGTGAGGCAGGATTTCTTTCTCACTGAGGAGGAAAATCTCTCTGAAGACTATTCAGATGCAAAATCCCTCAATTAAACCAGTACAAATAAAATGTTATTAGGTTTCTGCCAGCGTGCTTTGGCAGCTCATCTCCGGCTGTTCTGAACACGTCTGACTGATTTCAGAGGGTGTCTGTCTCTTATAATCTTGTTTCACTGTTTGATTCAGATCGGCTTTGAGACGCTTTGTGTGTCTGTGTCTTTTTGTAAGGGTCCAAGCACAACTTTAGGCAGGACACGACTGAAGTGGTCGCAGCTGCTCCTCCGAGAGCGGCCCGGGCCAAGAGGACTTCAGGCCGACTCAGCGGCTGTGAGAGGGTGAGTATTGGTCATGAGTTATCTAATTTAATAAATTAATTTTCTCCTAATATTACCACTTTTTCTGATTAGAACTTTATTTGACTTAATTATGACTTTAGTCTCATAACATTACAACATATAAAAAACAAATCTCGCATTATTTAGATGTCAGAATTAGAGAAATAACCTCACACTGTGATTGTAGATGATTAAAGGAAAAAGAAAACTTAATTGAGTGAAAAGAACGAACCTTTCACTCTGACACACTCCAATATAACATCCTTGTAATACTGTAAATGTGACCTTTCTGATTCTGTTTCTAAAATGTCAAAATTATAAATATCATATAATGACATTTGTGTAAACAGTTATTACTCAGTGTAAATGTTTGATCGTGTAGAGCCGTCGTCTGAGAGAATAGTGCCAATATTGAGCCAGCTTTGTCCCTGTGTGTTTCAGTCCCGGTCTCTGTGCTCCTCCCCGCTGCCGGGGCCCAGCCCCTCTCTCACCTCCTCCTCCTCCTCCAGCCCCAGTGAGTGGGGACCACAGGCCAGGGACACCGACTGGGGGGGTCAGAACCGAGTGGCCAGTCCTGCCAGGCCGGGACAAGCATCGCCGCTGCCCTACCAGCACCAGGAACACCAACAAAGGCCACGTAAGTCTCATCACGTAAATAAGTTACAATACAGGAGGGCTGTTTGAATGTAAGCATTTGGGGCAGAAACATGCTTGTTTGCTTTCTTGCAGAGATTGATACCACTCTCATGTCAGTTAGCTTAGCTTAGCATAAAGACTGTAAACAGGGGGAAACAGCTAGCCTGCAGATCGATCAGTATGTTGCTGGAAACCTGTAAATTTTACCCTGTTCAAATCAAACAAACAAAATATAATGTGTTCATTACTGAGCTTTGAAGGTGCTGATAGAGAGTCAATTTTTACTTCATTATGTAATCACACCCCCATTTTGTTCTGCACCCAATATGTAGTACCCCATATTTTATAATAAATTATTACATATTGTGGAAGCACTGTCAAAAGATCATTGCAGCAGTCAATCCTGCTAGAAATTAAAGCCTGAATGAGTTTTTGAATGACTTTTGAAGTCCCAGAGTTTGGCTGTAAGATGATAACAAGCTGATGTTGTTGTTGATGTCTTGTTACTGTTTTTATATGACTATTTAGACTAAAATCCATCAACTATAACGCCAAGGGAGGCACCACAGGTCAAAAGAGACTAATTAAATATTTAGTATACATAAATAAAGTTCAATTTAATTGTTATAAATATAATATGTGTATAGATGAAGACATCAATTTTGGTTGGTTATTACACAATGCACCATTTCATGATGTAATAACCACCACAATATGTAACACTGCACTACAAAAGGCAGGGAAATGTATTACATATTGCGTTCATGCTGTTTATTACAAAATGTGTTGTTACGAGTGTATTTCCCAAAGTTCTTTAAACATGTCTTAATTCACATAAAACGTACTATATTAACAGCACATTTGTTCTCCACAGTGCACCTATCGCGAGGTCCAAGTCCCATTTCCCTCAGCACACAGGAGGCCTGGCCGGTGGCAGCAGCCATAACCGAATATATCAACGCCTACTTCAAGGGTGGACAGCATAACCGGTCAGCATGATGCCACTTTCTAAACAGAGAAAACAAATCTTTCACATTCTCTGAGTGCCAGCTGAGCTAACAGGATTCAGTTTGTGTGTTTCCTTCTTTCTCCAGATGTCTGGTGAAGATCACGGGCGACCTGACGATGTCTTTCCCCGCCGGCATCACCCGGATATTCACAGCCAACCCCAACGTTCCCGTGCTCAGCTTCCGACTGGTCAACATCTCCAAGATCGATCACTTCCTGCCAAATCAAAAGCTGCTCTACAGGTCAGCTGCATTTTGAATCACAGCTGTGTGTGTGTGTGACTGTGTGCAGCCCTTTACCATCGTACCTCTGTGTCTCTACAGCGATCCGTCTCAGAGTGACCCAGACACCAGAGACTTCTGGTTCAACATGCAGGCTCTGCAGCTCTACCTGCAGAGGGAAGCTGAGCTCAACCCTCAGGCCTCGTACTATAACGTCGGCCTGCTCAAATATCAGGTCAGGGTTTAAAAATCACCCTCCATTACTGATGTTTTCTGCTTATTTGTGACATTTTAATACAATGTCAGACCCTCGGTTTAATCCATGTACCTTGGATGGCGTTCAGTGAAAAAACATTCAACACTGATTTTATTTTACAGATCCTTAATAGGTCCTCCTGAATAATGTCCTAATGATTTTGAATATGTTTACTAGAAATAAAATAGGAATTTACTTAAAAAAGAGCTACATTTAAACCAGATTAAATCTTTAACTATTTGTTTATTAATAGAAACTTTATTCTTTATATCTGTTGCATTTTTTATTTCCTTGTAGAGAAATTTCCCATTTCTGCAAGATCAGGGGGCTTCTCTGTGTTACCCTTTTAATTTGAAGTTTATTAACTGAACACGGTCTTTTCTGGCAATTATCATCAATTCTAAAGTGTTTTGTAAAACCTATCCCTTCAGTTGACCATAGTTAGTCGTATATGACCTTAAGATCTCTGTTGTTTTCTCAGGTGTCGTCTCAGGACCCAGGTCGGGCTCCTCTCCTGCTGTCTGCTGAGTGTCAGCGCAGCGGCACAGTGACCCGGGTGTCCCTGGACTACCACTGTTGCCCCGCCACCGCGCCCTCCACCCAGCTCACCGCTGTCCAGGTTCTGCTGCCATTAGACCACACTGCCACAGACCTGCAGTGCCAGCCACCCGCCTCCTGGTGAGCAGTGCTGATGTGCTGATGGAGGGATAATGAGCAGTTTCTGTTGACTTGCTTTAGTCTGCCCTGTGATTTGCTTGATAAATGTAATCAACAAGATTATTGTGATGCACAAAGTGAATCATAAATGAACCGGGAGGGATCGAGAGATGGTTGGAGGGTGGAAAAATAACACAAGATGCAGGTCAGATCTCACTGACTTCTATCTGCCCATATCTTCCTAATACCAACTTAAAAGCGGCTTTAACAATTACATAGTGTTCTCCTTCAGTCATTCTGCTCCTGAAGGCCACTAAACCGCACAGGTCTTATCACAGTAGAATGTATTTTATTTTTTCTCTAGTTTATGTTTTTTATCTGTTGACCATTTTGATGATTAATTGTTTTTCACAAAATGAAACGATGAAAATATAAAAAAAAACGCACATTCCAGTTTTTCAGAGCCCAAAGTGACATTTTCAGATCTCTTGTTTTGTTCGACCAACATCCCAAAACCTAAAAAGATATTCATTTTATTATCATGGAAGTATAAAATTCACAGTTGGAACCAGAAAGGAACCATTTTTCCTTAAAAACAGACTTTTAATTGGTTATCAAAACTGTTGCTGACTGATTTTCTGTTGATTGTTTAATTGTTTCAGCTCCAATGTGCTTTCAAAGAATCAAATTAAAAGAACAAGTTCTGATTTAGCAATTATTTAATCAGTAAAGCAACAGAAAGTTAACAGTTAACACAATTTCTTTGTTAATCAAGCAACAAGACTAAGAGCCTGCAGCCATGGTAACGGCTTTATGCTAAATGCTAACACACTCACAATACTCACTAACATGCTGATGTTTAACATGTTCTTAGTTTAGCGTGTTAGCATGCTAACATTGTATAATTGGCACTAAACACAAGCTACATCTGAGGCTGATGGGAATGTCGTTGCCAACATATTGGTCAAATTAAAATGACACGATGATGGTCCCACATTAAAGGATCATCAACGTGATGGACGTTAGTGGTTGAGATATTTCACTCAAAACCACGTCAACCTCATGGTGGTGCTAGAGGAAAACTCAGAGGATCACTAAAGTCAGGAGGATTCAATTCCCTGCAGATGACGAATGACTGAACCACATTTCATAGCAATCGGTCCAATTGTTGTCGAGATATTTCAGTATGGACCGGCTGACCGATACTGCCGTCCATAGAGCTGCTGAAAATACCAAATTTGTTGTTTCCAGCTTCTCAGATGTGAGGATTTGGTGGATTTTCTGCTTTTGTTATTGCTGTCTGTTTTCTACACTGAACCTCTTTAGATTTTAGAAAATTGATCAGACAAAAACCTTTTCTCTATTGTCTGGCATTGTACAGTATATACTAAACAAGTAATCGCAAAAGTATTAAGAATCGATTATGGAAATAATTGTTGGTTGTTGCTCTGATAATGTTTGAGCTCTTATTATCTCTGGTAACATGTCTTTTAAGAATTGCAGCATCACTGTGATGCTCACTCACTGACCTCACTGACTGTTCATTTGCCTCCGCAGGAACGCTGAGGAAAGACGGCTGCTGTGGAAACTCCCCAACCTCTCCCCAACCAATCACAGCAAAGGTCAGAGCTCTGCCGCGGCAGCTGCTGCTCCTGCTATGTTTCTACCTCTCTGCTTTCATGTTTTTAGCCCTCATGCAACGAGGAAATGCTAATACGAATCTGTTGTTCACTGGAAAGCAAAGAGAGACAAACTCACCTTGGCATTTATCTAACTCAGTCTCCCACGCATCCTGGAAAACCTGGAAATTAAGAGACTAGGGTTCCAGTCATGGAAACACCTGGAAATTGATTAAAATGACCAAATATCCTGGAAATGATATGATCAATCAGTAGGATAACCTGCGCGGTATGACATTTCAAAGCAGGTTTAACAGACATGGAGCTCTTGCAGAAAGTCTTTTTTTTTTGGAGCAGAATTCTAACAAAAGCTCAGTGTACAAATGTATTGTTGTAGTTAATAAATACATCCACTGCAATGTTAATTGTACGTGAAACAAACACTTTCAATTCTTCTTTTAACAGGGTAGAATGTGAGAGGATGAATTTTCTTACTTATGGGCTGTGGCCAAAGTAATGTTACCGTAAGAGGGTCAGTCAATTCCCAGCAGTGTCTCATAAACGCTGACCCACCTACCTGTAGTGAACCTGAGACACCTGCATCAACACTGGGCCTACTGGTGAACTATATGAACATTTGTGAGCATGTGCTGTCCTGTATTATCAAAAAAACTGGAAGAAGTCCTGGAGAGCGAACCCTGTCACAGCCTGTTTTGTGTCTGTTCGCCTTCTCATTAAAATTTGCACCAGAATTTTTCTACCTCGTCGCCTTCCCCGTCGAGTTCACGTCTCTACATTGTGTCATACAAATGTAGAAATGAGTAATTAAGGGTTGCATAAAGAGATCTTTGCACTCTCATTCTTCTCTTTTAAAAAAAAAAAAAGCTAAACGTATTATTACCTTTTAACAGCAGAATTAGCATCTCAACGTGGCAGCTGCTCTCGTCAGCCTGGTGGAGGTGAGCGAGTGGAGGTGCTGCTGAGTACTGACACAAAGACGAGCCTAAAAATGTTCTTTTATTTTGTGTCAAGTTGATTGTTATTTCATTTTTCACAACTCAAATGGGGCACCGATAACAGATGGTGTATAATAGAGGCTTTTGTGGCTCTAATTTAGGATGGGAAAGTCTAAAATGAAATCAAACTCCAGCTCAAGGTTTCCTTCACCTGTGTGCCTCTTTGTACCAGACACCCACGTTTCCTCTTTTTATTTTATTCTTTTTTCCCCCCATCTAATGATATATTATTACCTCGGTGTGAAGCTACAAGCTTGGAGAACAGACAAAAAGAGACTATTCATAGCCGTCAGTGATGGATGGGATGTTAAAGGCTGAGAATGTTTATATTTTGAGGACGTCTCTGGTTTATGAGTCAGTGACAAAGCATCAAAAGGTCACCATAACTCCTCCCTGTCCTTTCTTTAAAAAATCTGTTTTTCCTGCACATTTCTTTCACTCAGTCAGTAATGCATTTATTTTACCAGACGTCTTGTAAACTTGAAGCTGTCCTGTTTGAGCTGCACAGTATTTTATCAGCGTTTCTCCTCATATTCCTTCCTGTGCATATCTTTATCACACATAATAAATGTCTGAACATGGGAGTGTTTGTGACATTTACATGCTGACTCTTGCTTGATTGCTGATTTCCTGGTCAAACTGTTTTTTTTATAGATATCTTGGTTACACATCCGTTGTTTCAACAGTATTTACTTGGCTATATTTCACTATATTTCAGCGTGAAGCAGGATGACCCTCACTGATTGAAATCTAATCTTTAAAATAGAGTTGAAACTGCTGTTCAACTGTTAAATCTAAAGCTTTTGAACCAAAAGTGTGGTCTTTTTTTTTTTTTTTTTATCTTTACAAGAGGCTTCACATCCTCCTGTTTAAACTTAGTCTCTCCTTTGTTTCTACAGTAACCCATAACAGACAAACCAAATGCTCTAGATAGGACTTTTGGTGAGTTTCACAGCTACTGTAGTTAGCAATAAGTAAGTAATTAGCACTTTATGACATGAACCAGCAGCTCAGATTTCATAGTAAACCGCTGTGCACAAAATAGCTGCTTCCTTTATGATAATTACACTCATTATCAATGTTAAAAAAGACGCACCAGCTGTGTTTATGATCTTTTTGTCGTTTTTGCTGTAAAGTTTCTCATGTTTATCTGTGTCTCAGGCTCAGGGACTCTGTGTGCCAGCTGGCAGTGCCTGGAGGTTCCCCGCGGCCCTCCGCCCAGCCTGGCTGTTCAGTTTGTGGGCTCCGGGGCCTCGCTGTCTGGGATGGACGTGGAGCTCGTGGGCAGTCGCTACCGCATGTCGCTGGTCAAGAAGAGATTCGCCACAGGTAACGCTGCGAACGCTTGTGTTTGTTTTCTTCTGGCTGAGAATGGGCCCTTTGTATTAAATGTTAATGAAGCTCGATTCTCCAAACATTATTATTTCATCTTATTCTTACACTGCATGTGTGTTTATCCCCCTTTAAATAGAAATGTACCTCTTAATATGAGCTTAACAATCAAAATTCTAATAAATATGTCTTCCCTCAGTTGTCAGTATAGAGTCTCATCACATTAGAATATGCTTTCATAATTTGGACTACAGCTGATCATCATTTTGATGTATTAATTATAATTTTAGGTCATAAATGTGAGGATTTGCTGCTTGTTTAATATCATTTTACACTGAATATCTTTGGATTTTACTCAGATAAAACAAACAATATTAAGACTAAAATTATGATTTATGATGGCATTATATTATTTTTTATAAAACAGTTATTCCTAGAGTTCTTGCACTACAGAGAGTCTTACAGACAGGTGCATTGCCCAAAATAACTCCCTTCATTAACTATATTTCAGTCCTCAGACCATCAGCAGTGTAACAGATTCTTTAAACAGTAGAGAAAATAATTAGTTGCAGCCCTAAAAATAACACTCAGTGTTCTGTAACAGGTCATTTGAGGCTCTTTTATTATTTTTTATGGAGTTAATTGTAATAACTTATTTAAACTGTATTAAAGTAGTTGATTTATATTAGCTGATATAACTTAACCAGAAGAGAAAGTAACTTCACTGATATAACACCTTTCAAGAGCAGTCGTCACAAAGTGCTTCACAAAAGAAATAAGACGTCATAAAATAGAAATAAATCAAGTTGCCTTTTAAAGGTGTTAAACTGTGTCTTCACTGGGATTAAAAACCTATTTTACAAGAGTGTCCTGGCCAAGACCTCAACACCTCATAGCACATAAAACACGACGACAGACCTACAATAAGGTAAAATATGAAGAGAAGAATAAGTAATAATAAGTAATGTGAGTAGTTAGGTGATTCCTTGTTGTGTACACTTAATATCCTGTTTGTTCTTCAGTTTCACTACATAATAAAGTAGCTGGATGCTTTTCCACGTGTTCTTTAGGTCGTGGCTTATTTTGGCGGTGCATTTCCTTTTTGTACATTCGTGCTTTGTCATGTGTCTGACAGGGAAGTACATGGCGGGCTGCGCCTTGTGAGTCGTGTAAAGGACCATCGCTGCGAGTTCAGAGGACTGGACGGGAGGAGAGAGGATTCGCGGTAAGACGGAGGAACCTTGAAGCTCAACCTTGAAGGACGACGTGCACTTAACTTCTGACAGTGTCCTGCTGTTTTAGGACCAAGCCTTTTCTTCTTCTTTTCCTCTAATTTAAGTTGTGTGTTGTACACCTGCCTGCCTTTAGCGGGACAGAAACTCTTTTTCTATCTCATCGTGTTCTGAGACTGCAAACTAAGCTACATGTTAGAACTTTTCATGAGTTACAGAAGAAAAGAAAATGTGTGTGAATAAAGTTAAAACATATTACTGTCTGGAAGTGAGTTGCCATGGAGACTAGGATTTTTAAATTATGTAAATACTGTATGGAAATCTCTAGAGCATCTTAAAAAGGATCGAACGAGTCATTTGTGAGCGAAGATCTTCTACCAAACCTTAGAAAAAAGAAATGTTTGTAAATCTGCTGTTTGTTCCAAATAGAGGTTTTGTGATGTTGATATTTGATAAAAATAAATGTGCTCAAACCTTTTTTGGTTTACACCAATTTATTACACATTGTGACCAAGTACAAAATACAGCTGAACTATGCAGTTTATTACAGACCATCATCTGTCCTTAGGCTAGTTAAAGTGTAGTCAAGAACAGGTTTAAAAATGCACAAAAATAAGGGTTCAGTATACTTGTAAGAAGAACCAAATCTAGTTCAATAAAAAATAATCCTCCGCCAAAAATCTAAAACAGCCTTACAAAACATTACAAAGTACACACAGAAATTACTTTTTTTTCCAAAGCACTTGAAGGCAAATTACTGTGACAGGCACAAGTTACAAAAAGCCTTAAATAACTCAAGCTCAAGGATTCCCATCGCTACAACAAAATCATCCGAGGAGGGGGGAGGAGGAGGGACAAATAAATCAACCAAACTAATTTCAACACAAAGCTGATGTCAATCAAATCAGAATAGTTCATATAAATAGAAATTTCTCTTGTGACCGTTTAATAGTTTACTCGGGTGCAGTAGCACCACAGTAATAATTGAGTTTCATACATTGAACAATTGAGATTGGAAACAAATTTATCACACACGCCAGTCTAATCAATTACACATCAAAGCATTTTCTTCTGATACAATGTGACCAACCAAGTACAGTGTGAGGAGAGAGATTAGGCAAAGACCGAAGGCCACAGAGCACACACTTTCTACATTATACAAAGATATATATATCTATATATATGTATGTATATATAATTTATTATGGACAAATTCCCCATATAACACACTGTATTCTTCTATCTAATTCTAACAGAACATAAGACTTTTTTTTATCTGAGTAACAGCATGAGGTCAAGGTATCTGAAGTCGGGGAGCTGGCTGTGTAAGGGTTTTGGTTTTACAGGTCCAACTGCTCTAACATGTATTGATTTATCTTCCTTAGATGAAATGTACAACCACTTTTTATGAGGCTCAATGAGACAGACCAGGGTCCAGTTCAGGTTTTAACATCCCATCTCTATTAAGTCAATTACTCTGGACGTATCCCCGACTCTGTGGCAGCTAAGTAAACTACCACATGTCTGCACGTATGAGTCACTAAATTAGGACTTACTGAATGCATCCTCAGAGCACACAGAAGGAGCTGTCACAGGGTCGAAACCATTTGTGGAGAACTATTTACATTTAAGAAAACGGGAGTGGGAGACACAAACTGAAACAGTGGCTACATTTAATACTTGCCATGTCATCTGAGCCGAACGGAGCACAGCATAGAAATCTATTGAGGTATCCATCTTACACAGGTAACATACTGAGTTCCCTGCCTTCCTGACTACTGCGAGACTATGAGGCCTGACAGAGCCACGACTATGGCTAAGCTGGTGGGAACGACTGAGGGAAAGGTCCTTTGGGTCAGTAGGTTGCATGTTGTTGTTTTGTTTTTGTTTTTTTTGTGTGTGTGTTTGCTGCGAGCTGCAGCAGAGGCAACAAGGAGTGTACACACCTACACCTAATCAATGTTAAAGGTGCTTTGAATGTCTGAGGTTTGGAGACGATACATTCATACTGCGGTAGAGGCACAGCTGAGGGACAGATAGACATCTGTAGTGGTGGTTTCAAAGTTAGCGATCTAAGGCACTCAAATGACACTATGGCACAGCTAGTTAAAATTAAAAAAAGAGAAGAATCACATAAACACCACACACCACCACTCAAAGTTACACATCCAATAAAAAGGTACTGCACAAAGTCATTCACAGTTGCAACAAAAACAGAAAGAAAATCAGACCTGTGTTACACCCCTGTGAGTAAAAAAAACAAAACAAACAGACGTGAGTTTCCTGGGAGATAGATTACCGTCCTTATAAACACTAGTGAGGGGAGGACTGACACTGCTACTTTCTTCTCTATGTACATTGCACACACTGACTGCAGAAGGACGCAGTGTGCTCGGCCCAAAAAGCCACAGCGTCCCAAAGGGCCCCGGAAGCCACTTTACGGGGTCACCTTTCTTTTCTTTTTTCTTTTTTTAAAACGGGAGAGATGCTGGTCCTTGTGGCTTTCAGTCCGGCCCCAGTTCAGACACGACTCACATCTCCTGCAGAGGGTGGCTCATTTCGATCCTCTCTCTCTTTACAGCAGGTTCAGTCGGCCCTCTGGACGCGTCGGCATCACTGCCCAGGTCACTCATCTCATCGGAGAACGACGCATCTAGCAGCACAGGGAGAGAGTGGAAACTGTCACCCTAAAAGCAAACGGGGGTTCTTGTGGTTTTTCTACAACCCATCGCTGACGTCTCTCTCAGTGTGTTACTGATATACTTCAATCTAGACACATGCTCTGGGCAGGAGTTTGCACTGCTGCCAGTGATCAAAGTGAGGTTTCTCAATGGCCACAACTGTTATCGTACTTCAGTTTCTTTGTTGAATCATTATAATCAATATTATCAGTATCAATCTATTTTTACTACATAAGATGTTTTGGGGTTATTAATTCTGATCAGTAAACCATCTTAGGCTCAACTAATTTTCTAGAACAAAAACTACCTGATAAGCTCTAGTCCCATTGAGCCACTTTTAACAAGATATCAGCTCAAAATATATTCTACAAGAAGACCATTAAAGGGTTAAAAAGGGCCACACATAGATAGTTTAATACATTTTACATTTGTTAAATGGGCTCATTTTTAAGGAGAACAGTTTAGTTTTCAGCAAATCTTACTCAAAACAGAGAAAGTAGTGCATTTGCTGGAAACTATTTTTAGCTGCAATTTAATTTGTGGTGGTGAGTTTTTCCAGCAGCAGGATGGTGAATGTGGGATTGACTCAAAATAAACTGCAGTGTTCATCATAATGTCAGCTACAGTGATGTGTTTTTTTAAAATAGTTTTATAACAATAGAGCTCAGTAGAACAGAGGAATAAGATGTAGCATTGACAATGACTACACAGAAAGACGTATTAGGAATTAATGTGCTTGGGGCCACAGACTGGGGCTTATGTCTTAGCTAACTAACTTGGCAGTTAGCCAAGACATAATTAAACTAATATCAGTGTCTTACCTTTTTCCATGAGTGATGGCATCATAGAGCTCAGATCACTGAACTGTGATTCAAGAGATAAGAGAGCATGAGTCAACGAAACTACACTTTTCAACATAATTCAAACTGTTTTGAGCAACCAGAGCAGTTTATAATATCTTCTTTCTTACCTCTCCCATGACAGCAATAGGAGTTTCTCCGGTGGCCTGAGCCACACGGTGTTCCACCAGGTAAAACATGTACTCATCATACAGTAGGCGTATCAGGTGGAAAGAGCCAAAACTGGCTGCACTACGCAAGGTCAGGTCTCTGATCACCATGGAGCTACAGGAAGGAGAGAGAGAGAGAGAACACAGATAATCTATAAAACTCTGTTTGGAGTCATACAGCTACACCACCACACAAAGGTACATTTACTTTTCCCCCCAAAGGTATAAACAAGACTGATGCAGTCATTTTAAGCGTAAACAGTCCCATTGTTCATACCTGTAGAAGGACCATTTGAGCAGGAACTGGCGTGCAGCTTTGGGGAAGCTGGGGCTGCCCTGGTGAGGCTTGAGGACCTGAGAGACCACGTTGTCGAGCCATGTAGCCCACTGGTCCAGAGAGCTCTGCTGTTGCAGGGTGACCTTAAAGTCCTGCTCCAGACGCTGAACCACACTCTCGTCACACTGACACACCCATGACGCCTGCTCCTGTTAGACACAACAAACACACCCAAACACATTGAGCAATAAACCACAGCACACAGCGAGTCAACATGAACAGTCTGTAACTGCAACAAGACACTGGCGTCAAGTTAAATAACCAGCGAAGCAGCCAGAAAGGTTTACCTGGACGTTAGCAAAGTCGACCCGGTTGAGGTCAGACAGCATCTGGTTGATCTGGGAGGTGTTCTGGAGGACGGCGCGGGCTGCCTGGGCCAGGTGGTTCAGACTGGTGTAACGTCTCAGTGTCTGGGCAAAGGCGCTGACCACCGCCACCTAAACCACGGAGACAGAACCAGAGAATCCATATTATATACAAGTCATCTATGCAGAGATTTACTCACATTCCAGAAATATAATCCAGGCAATATCAATGCATTCACATAAACATGAATAACCTTTAACGCATGAATCCAATCATTAAGATCCCTGAAGAGACGGCACCGTGGATAAAACACTCGTGGATCAAAATAAGCCTCGTGAGAAGATCACAGGTTACCGTAAAGGCAAAAACTTATTTAACAATCCCTAGTCTATAAACACACTAAAGATATATTTCAGTATTGTAATTCATATATTTTATATGCACATACAATCTAAATGAGGGGATCAGAGATTTTCTTGTTACCTTGGTGCGGATAATCTCTTGAGGAAAGTTGGTCATGGCGTTTGTCAGCCAGCCCTCCAGACTCTTGGCAAAGTTACGGATGGCCTGAGTGAGAGTGCCTGAGGAAACAGAACAGCCTGGATTACAAACCGACTTTACTACATTTATGCATAAAACATAAGAAGACTTGTGCAAACACAGCCAACTGCAGAAGATTCAAGTGGTACCGAATAAACAGAAAAATGTTGGTGTGGTATTACTGAGGTTCATATTGGGACAATGAGAGTTAGATTTTGTTATATTACTTAATCAGTGTGAGTTTGGGAACCAGAAACACAAAAGTTATGAGTTTTATGTTTATCCTGTGTCTCAATACAGTGTATTACCTCATAGTACCTTATTAAATCCTAATAAATCAAAAATCAATAGTACTGACTCGGAACAGGACGCAGCACATCGGGGATGAGGATCTCTACCAGAGCCTGGTAGAGGATGTGGTCACAGCTCCTCATCCATAGTCTGATGGGTTCATATTTACACAGAGCCACCAGCTTCTCTCTGGGGATCACACCTTCCATGTCATCATCACTACAAACAGAAAATACATATACACAAAGCTGTTTACTCAACTAAACTCAGCAGACAGTCATTTAATTTAAAGAGGTAAATGTTTCTGACATGACATACAGTTAAAATAGACACAAATGTAAATGTAAGAGTAAGTAGTGGCTTTCTGTTCAACACTGAAGCCTCAGCTCTTCCTGTTTGCGTGATCTGACCTGTTGGGGATAGTGGTACTTCCGTCACTAGATGGCGGTGTTGAATACCAAAAGGTCTGCCAGAGTTTCTCAATGTAGTGGAACTGGAGGTTCATCACCACATCCAGTGTAGCCTGCAGGAGAGCAGCAAGGCAGGGAGGGAGGGAGGGAGGGGAAGAGAGTGAGGGGGAGGGAAGAGAGGAGGAAAGGAGAGGGAGGAAGGGGGGACAAAACATACAGAGCTCAACCATGGCAACCAGACACACAACAAAGTTTCTACAGGCAGGCAGGCAGCCTCTCGCTCACTCTGGGCCCTCCTGGTTAGACAATGAGCCAGCTTAAACACGGCTCCCTGCACATTAATCATCAGGAAGATCCTAAAGGCCACGTTTAGGCTTCATCTGGAGGTTTTTTTATTTGATTTCCACTCAGTTGTTTTTCTTAAATCTTGCTTGCCTTTATAAAAGCAGATTGGTCTCACTCACTTCATTTATGCATGCATGTTTCTCCTTTGTGTGGCAAGGCGCTGACCTGAACTAACCCATGTGACTTCCTCTTTCCTGTTCATATGTATGAGGCTCTTAGAAAGCACTCGCACACAAGTGAACACTGCAAGTGCGCAAAAGGAAGCAGTGACACGCTAGTGATCTAAAATGATAAACTACAGGGCTCAGAGCTCGGTCAGAGAAAAAGTCATAACCTATTTCTAAAAAAAAACAAAAAAACAGAGTAAACAGATCACACATATAATAAAAGTAGAGAACAATTAAAAAACAGCAGTGGAGAAGTTGTTGAGGGAATTCACCAGAGGAAAAGTCCGTCTCATTCAGAGGTTTAACTTAACGCTCGTGTTTTTCAGTATTGTCTCTACACATTGAGCGTCTACAATAGAACAAGCGTACGATTCACACCGTGACCACAGATTCTCTCCTCTTTCTCTATCTGGCATTGCCGCTGGATCTTGTTACACAGCAGTGTAGGCTTCAATCACATGATATGTTTTTGCTTCCTCTCCAGCCGTTGCCACGGCAACCTTGTTTACGGTTGCCCCGAGCAACAGGTCAAACACAGAACTCCAAAACAAAAAGGAGAATTCCCCATCCCCTTCTAAACAAGAGCGTTTTGCCTCCACAGTTCTTCACCACACAGGAAAAACAGCATGCCTTTATAACAAAAAAAAAAAAGTGGGGAGGAGAAAATAACACATGTTCACGTTGCACAGCGAGATTCCCGAATCTTAATCCCTCACAGTCTGCGCGCACACACACACACACACCACACCACCACACACACACACCACACACACACCAGCAGGTTTGCAGTGCAATTTTATTACCCCAAAACTTTCATTAAACATCTAATCATTTGTGGTTAAACATTAATTTAATGTCATGGCTGATACCTGAATATTTGGCTGTTGTTACCATGACATTAATAAATACACGCCCGACCAGGAATACAGAGCTGTTAACATCTCTGATAAAAAAAAGGATTAATTTAAGAATTTAACTGCATGAAAGTAAAGTAAGAAATAAGTATTGTTTTATGCTGCTTAGGCCAACGTGTTACCTTTATTTGCAACTTTAAATGATGTCAATAAAAGTATTGGCTAATGTGTTAACAGGTCACTGTTGGTTCACATAAAAAGGAGGGGGAAAAGTGAAATGCATAAACATTAAACACAGAGGCAATGAGAGCTGCAAGAGTGACAGAAATGTGCTGGCAGACAAAGACAGGAGCCCATGTGCCTGTCCACAGACAAGGCAACACAAAGGCCCAAGGGGAGGCCACCACAAAGACACCAAGATGTCCACCCAGCGCGCTGAAAGGTTAATTGGCATGTCTTGAAAGCTGCACAGAGATGAAAAGACGGCTGGAACAAAAGGAGCGTGGTGAGACTGGACACGGGGAGGGCAGGGATAATATGATAAAGCCAGAGCTTCGCTGCTTTAATCACAGCCTCTCTCTCCTGCCTGTAAAGCCCCCAAATTTTAATGTTCAATATTATTTCTATTATTCTCACTGCCAGTGCGTTTCATCCTGGGGGGTTATTCTTCTACTCCTACTCAAATTCATGGTCCTACCAAGAGACTATGAATTATGCTCTGAAACCTGCGTAATATCATTATTCAATAGGCCGTTTATTCATACATTTTCCTCATGCAGTTCTTCAAAGTCAGAGCTTGACACCTGTTGACTGCTGCAGTTTGCTTTCATTGTGCCTCCTGTTTCAGGATGTGTATCTGCCCTTATTAAACCAATTCACCCCGATAAGCCTGGCATTATTCTTTATTTTATAAATCCAAAACCAACAGTGTTTTAGTCTGTTGCACCAAGAGTGACCGACTACTTTACTTTTTACTTTGCTTTACTTTTCTTTAACATCTATGTGGCATTCAGCCCCAAAGCCCATTTGTCAGTAAATCTTTAAAAAAAAAAAAAGGATCACAAATATATAATTTAATTATTTTAAAAGGCTCAGTAATTTTCTAAAACAGCTGGAAACACGAGGAAATAGTGTATTTATTGGGGACTGTTCCACTTCAGCAGTGGATTGATACACGTCCAGTGCTCTAGTAAGTATCTACAGAAATACAACAATACAAATACAACCATAAATTACGGGATCGACTCAGAATAAATAATAGTGCCAGTGTTCATGATAATGAAGGAACGTGGGCAACAATTCTCACTGGTGTGTTTTTAATAGTTTTGCTTGTTAGAAAGATCAATTAATTGCTGGTTTTGGTATTTTTATTGGATTTGTTAATAAGAAAAATATCCATAATTATGTCAACAGCTCAATATGAGATAATATGTTTATCTAACATGTAAGTGATGTTACGATTTACAATTTAATTAATGCCACAAATAGCATCATAGAGTAGCTCGGTTTCATTGTTCTGTAAAACAAACATGCATTGCCTACAAAGAAAATGCAGAATCTGACGAATCTAAAAAAATATTTATTTTTAAAAACAACATGTCAAAGCTTTAGAAATAGTTGAACACGTAAAAAGAATACCCCACCGATTTAATAACACTGTCGGACTCACGATGGACAGGTTTAGAATAAAAGGTCTGAATCTGAATCACTGCAGCGGAACCAGACAGATCTTCTGTATCCCACACATCCTTCTTCCTTATCAAAACTTGACTCCCACATTACCCGCAGTGACTATCGAATGTCAACAGTTCAATCAGAGAATCGGGCGCTCGTGGAAGCTAATATAGCCTCGAGCCACTAGCTTGAAGCAGAGACGAGGAGCTGTAATTCGCTCCTTTCTAACACTGAATTAGAAAGCTCCAGATTTTTTTGTTCACTTGAGGCAATTTGTCAGATGTCACGCAGACACAAAAGGCTTTATACAACTTTTTCACATAAGCAGTAGTACTCCCCATGACCTGTAAATAAACTTTATAATCAGTTCTGTTTATATTCATATTCAAGCTTAAAATTTAAATATTTGTTCAAACTTTCCTAAGGTAATGGAAGGTCTGATTAAAATAAAAAGTGGTGCTGTCATGTGACGTACCTCACAGTGGTCTCTGTAGAGTGTCTGCAGCTTCTTGATATCATTCATGTTGATGCGCTCAGGCAGAGGCTGGGTGCCCAAGTCAGGAGTGGGAAATGGAGGCAAGGTGTGGGACGTGTCTGCATAAAGCAAAAACAAGTGGACAGGTGTCACTCATTTTACACACACACACACACACACACACACAGACACACACACACAGGCTCATGAATTAGAGACA